AGAATCAATTTTCAACACAAGCATATTTTAACTAGATACTGATAGAGCGCATCATATGAATTTGGGTTTCTCATGACAAACACGTCTMTTGGRCTTTACGTGTTTGTCAAGAAAATAATTACTTACATTTGAATGAAGAGATACAATTATAATCTCATTCGTGTCGTATAAATAGGATTGCTMTGACTTTGTAAAGATAACTTGGATATTGAATAAAACCGTAAGTTTTCATAGCTAAACGAGCTTTTATAGCACGGGAAAGAGTACTCCRAACCTCAATCGATTTAACCGTAGATTTTTTTGTTTATTTCAAATCCGATTGCACACACAAATCTCTTAGATCTTTTGTGTGTCTTCGTTATCTAGTTTCCGTTCTCCATCAATAACAAAATAWAAACTCATGACTTAGCTGTTTCTTTAGGATTACAATCATCAAATCAAAATTTCACCGTATTAATTCTAGATACACATGAAATTGAACACTTTACCAAATTTCAGTTCCGTCATACTCGATAATGGAGGAGCTAGAGAATAGTTGTGATCTTCACAAGCTGAGTAGTAGGGTGCTAAATGTTGAAGGAGACGCGTGTTCGAGGAGTAGTGAAAGATCTTGTGGTGATATATCGGTTAAAGGTAGGGATTTGGAATGTATTGTGCCTTCAATTAGTCATGGTGAGGATGCGGCTACAGGGCGACATTATGGAAGAACTCATTATTCCACAAAGGTAGGTAGCTCGGTTGGTGAATCTGGAAGCCGTCTAGGTAGTCCGATGACCTCAACAAATCATAGTTACGGAGATGAAGATGTAGATTTTGTGGATCAATGTAACCGTGGTTGCGGAATAACGTATTGCTGGTCAAGAACACCAAGGTACAGAGGATCAAATCATTCGTCTGATGTAGAAGAGTTTCCTTTACTACCTGGAAATGGTGAGAGTGATGTGGGGACACCAAGTCCCAAAATGTCGTCGAGGAGTCTATGTCAGAAATWCAAACCGAAATCGTTCGATGAGTTAGTTGGACAAGAAGTCRTAGTGAAATGTCTTTTGAGCACCATCTTGAGAGGAAGGATTACTTCTGTTTACCTTTTCCATGGTCCTCGTGGGACTGGTAAAACATCGACATCTAAGATTTTTGCTGCTGCTTTGAACTGCCTTTCACAGGCTGCACATAGCAGACCATGTGGCTTGTGTAGTGAATGCAATTCGTACTTCTCAGGAAGCAGCAGGGACGTGATAGAAATGGATTCGGTTAAATTAAACCGTCCTAGCCACCTCAGATCTCTCATAAAAAGTGCATCTTTGCCTCCAGTTTCATCTAGATTTAAGGTTTTTATTATCGATGAGTGTCAGTTACTATCTCAAGAAACTTCGGGTACTCTCTTCAACAGTTTGGACAACTTCTCTCAGCATTCAGTTTTTATACTGGTTACATCGGAGCTTGAGAAGCTACCATGTAATGTGCTCTCACGGTCCCAGAAATATCATTTCTCTAAAGTATGTGATGAAGAAATATCGAATAAGCTGGCCAAGATTTGTTTGGAAGAAGGTATTGATTTTGATCAGGGGGCAGTTGATTTCATTGCTTCTAAATCTGATGGTTCGCTTCGGGATGCTGAGATCATGCTTGATCAGCTAAGTTTACTCGGTAAAAGAGTAACGACATCTTTGGCCTACAAACTTGTGAGTTTACGCATCTTTCTTCATAATTTTTATCACTCATTGTCTTGGAAAGATATTTGATAGCTGACAAAAAATTTCACCGTTCATAAAAGAAGAATCGTATTTTTTATCTAACGGAAAAATGTAATTCTGTATGGAATGGAAATTTGATATAAGAATAAGATGGACATTATGAACAAAATGAGAACAATGTTTGT